TTTAAGCCTGTACTGTTGGTATGTTTTAGGCAATTTTCAGTCAACATTTCTTTAAGTACAGTGGTACCCCAGGTTACATACGCTTCAGGTTACATATGCTTCAAGTTACAGACTCCGCTAACCCAGAAATAGTGCCTCAGGTTAAGAACTTTGCTTCAGGATGAGAACAGAAATTGTGCTCCAGCGGTGCGGCAGGGGCAGCAGGAGGCCCCATTAGCTAAAGTGGTGTTTCAGGTTAAGAACAGTTTCAGGTTAAGTAGGGACCTCCAGAACGAATTAAGTTCTTAACCTGAGGTACCACTGTATTTCTTTTTTAACTTATTCAATGCGGCCAACATCTTTGAGTGGATGACAGATTTGCTGAATCTTATCCCTGAGAAGGAGCTAGACTCAAAACATTACAGGAAGAAAAAATACAGCCTTCTTTCCGCACAGCTGATATTTCCTCTCCCCTTCTCTCTTGAATTGTTTTTACCCAATACAAGTCACTTTTCTGCAGTGGCATATAGAGCAGAAATGGAATGTTAGTTCGGTGATTAACTGTATCGTGTGAGTAAACGGTTGGTAATATTATATTGCCAAGGAAGGGTGATTGCATATATCTTCACGATATTTATCTTTACGATATTTATCTTTATTTAGAGTGGGTTATTAAAGGGTGAGACAGCGTATTGCAGTGTTTGAAGAGGTGTGTCTCCAGACTAATTTAATTTGTGTGTTTGGTGCAGCACAGGAAGAAAGGGCGGGTTTGGGGTGAGGAGAGGGAACGTGCAGCATGATACCCATTAAACAGCCAATAAGATAATGACTCGTGTGTAGATTTAGTCATAATATTTAATATAATAGTTTGATGGCCAATGGTACAGAAATCCGCCTTTGGGAGTACATATTTGTAGCCATATTTTACACTCCATAAAATCAGAACTGTGGTTTACAACGGGTTGGTTCCCATGACTTCCAGCAGAACATGTGAACTGTCTCCATGGGGATGCATTCTGCTGGTAAAAGGTAAAGGTAAAGGGACCCCTGACCGTTAGGTCCAGTCTCGGATGACTCTGGGGTTGCGGCGCTCATCTCGCTTTATTGGCCAAGGGAACCGGCATACTGCTTCCGGGTCATGTGGCCAGCATGACTACGAACCAGAGCAGTGCATGGAAATGCCATTTACCTTCCCGCTGGAGTCAGCCGAGCAACGGGAGCTCACCCTGTCACGGGGATTCGAACCGCTGACCTTCTGATTGGCAAGCCCTAGGCTCTGTGCTTTAACCCACAGCACCACACGCATCCCTAAATAGTAAAAGAGTTTGGATTTGATACCCTTCTTTATCACTATCCCTAAGGAGTCTCTAGCTTAAATGCCAGAGAAGTTCTTTCTGAGATGATTTTGAGAGGTGGGGCTTGTCAACCCAGGAAGGCAGCTCATCCAGGAGAAGGAAAACTGATCCTAAAACTCCGCTGCCTTGCGGGAAAACTTCGGGAGAAGAAAAGGCTAAGGAGTAAACGCTACACATATCTTGAGTGGAGTCCATGAGACGGTTGGGTGGCACCTTGTATGTCTCCTTCAGGCAACTCCTGCAGCCAAGCTGGTGCCAAACATCTTGCTCTGCTTTCCTTTGGACTACACCAGAAAGGTTGTCAACTGGGCAGCCCAGGACCATCATACACACTGCCCAGGCCTGTGCTCTGGGGAGGTCACTTTGGCGCTGCTAATGTAGCGGTTTGACTTCTCCCCTGGAGGCACACTCCATTGTCTCTTGAGACAGATGGATGCCAACAATGCGCACATGCAATTCATTATTTGGTATCCAGCCAATGTGCGGGGAACTGTCAACAGGTCTCCTGCTGATAGCTCATTTTTAATGCTAAGATGCTAAAGCTGATTCCCAAGCACAAACTTTGCTCTCATAAGAAACATATTTATTCTATAAGGGGGGAAGCCGTGTTCATGGTTATTGATGAACGAAACTTGCCCATTCGGATTCAGAATGGAGTGGGTCTTTCTGAGGCTTTCTGGTCATTTCTTTGGGGAGAGGTCAGGCTTTTTCTGCCACTTCTACAAAGCTCAAAAAGATTCAAGCTGGGGAGCTAGACCTCTTGTCTACCAGTTATGTCCTGCCTCATTTTCCTGTACAGTGGACTCTCGGGTCGCGAACATGATCTGTGCGGGAGGCACATTCACAACCCGCAGCGTTCGCAACCTGCAGCACTGCATCTGTGCACTCGCGGGTCGCGATTTGACGCTTCTGTGCATTCGCAAAGCGCGATTTGGTGGTTCTGTGCATGTGCGAGTGCCAAAACCCAGAAGTAACCCATTCTGGTATTTCTGGGTTCGGCGCGGTGCGCAACCTGAAAACACACAACCTGAAGCATCTGTAACCTGAAGTAGGACTGTACTTAAAAACTTGTGATGAGTTGTGGGAGAGTTTCTGAGCTCTGAAACGTTTGCAAGCTCTCTCAACTGCTGGTTTGCCTTCTTACCCTTGACGATTTTGGAGATGTGTGGGAAAGGCGAAGAAGAAAAAATTACGTGAGAAGCCCAGTACTGTGCCATGACAGGCTCACCTGGAATTTGGAAGGTGGGCTGGGCTCAATTCGTAATGGCTCAATGATTTGTTTCTGAACACCCCCGTTCTGAGGTTATACTCGATCAGTATTCTTGATGGGAAGGGTTGCCTTGGTCCAATAAAAGCTTGTTGTTTCCTGTGTGTTTTTCTCTTTCCATTTTGCTTCATTGAAAATTGCCTCGGTGAGGGTGTGTAAACAGAAGCAGGTGCTATTCTCCTCCTCCTACCTGAATCATCCAGCGCTGGCACAAATACAGTTTGTGGTTTCACAAATTTGCATGCTGCAACCACCTTTGGGTGGGGTGAATAAGCCAAAACAGAGGAGGAGACGCAAGGAGACAGCAAGCTTCATTAATTTCATTGGGGATTACTCATCGTCCTACAAGTGTATTGATACTGTCCAGCAGCAATTAGTGGGTCCCAGCTATTCTTTTCTATAACATTTAACCATGATGCGCATGAACAGAAATAAAAGTCATTGAAAAGGCTGCTATACCAAATCTGATAGTGATATGCAGAGATAGCTACTCCCTCCCCTGGCAACTTGCTGATACATATTTGAGAAAGTTCAATGCTCTAATGGTGATAGATAAATGCTGCCCCAATGTGCTTATATATGGGAAGGAGAAATTGCTTGGTGGCTTAAGTGTAAGATGATCTCTCAGGGAATATAAGTCCTTACTCTTACATGTGCTTTAGGAAATAATGTCATATGGTTTAGCTCGCCATCTGTCAAATGGATATAGCAAATAACTGTCCACTGTTTTATAGAAATTGTTGCCGTCCCCTTAGAAAGCATTCCAGACTCAAGACTTGAAGCAAATGATTTATGGCTGGAATTTACTGTACATCAATAGGTGTATTGCCTTGTGTGCAATCCGTATGTTCTCTGAAATATGGTTACATGCTGTAGAATGCATCCAAATATACATAATTTAAGCAGTGAGCGTGCTATGGAATTACGGCGCTGTGAGTAAAATCTCAGCGCCTAGGACTCGCCGATCGTCAGGTCGGCGGTTCAAATCCCCACGATGGGGTGAGCTCCCGTTGTTCGGTCCCAGCGCCTGCCAACCTAGCAGTTCGAAAGCACCCCCGGGGGCAAGTAGATAAATAGGGACCGCTTACTAGCGGGAAGGTAAACAGCGTTTCCGTGTGCTGCGCTGGCTCGCCAGAAGCGGCTTAGTCATGCTGGCCACATGACCCGGAAGTGTCTTCGGACAGCGCTGGCACAACCCTAGAGTCGGACACGACTGGCCCGTACGGGCAGGGGTACCTTTACCTTTATAACCCTCTCTTAATCAGGGAAAGGGATGCGGGTGGCACTGTGAGTTAAACCACAGAACCTAGGGCTTGCCGATCAGAAATTCGGTGGTTCAAATCCCCGCGATGGGGTGAGCTCCCGTTGTTCGGTCCCTGCTCCTGCCAACCTAGCAGTTCGAAAGCACGTCAAAGTGCAAGTAGATAAATAGGTACTGCTCCGGCGGGAAGGTAAACGGTGTTTCCGTGCGCTGCTCTGGTTCGCCGAAGCGGCTTAGTCATAATGGCCACATGACCCGGAAGCTGCCTGCGGACAAACGCCGGCTCCCTCGGCCTATAGAGCGAGATGAGCGCGCAACCCCAGAGTCTGTCACAACTGGACCTAATGGTCAGGGGTCCCTTTACCTTTACTAATCAGGGAAAACCCATTCCTCTTGGCCAAATGTGGAGATGTGCACAGCAATGGGTTCGTGTGACAGTCATGAAGGCACCTCACACCTCCCTTGACCTGTTTGTTATCAGTTTAAAGGAACTTACCGGGATGTTTTAATTTAAAAACAAATGATTACTAAGGTCAACTTACAAGGTGCTTGGTGTGTATGTGTGCATAGCAAAAAGGTGAACAGCTTGGGGAAAGGGTTAGAGTGAACTAAGAGCAAATAAGCATTGGATTCGGAAGCAAGTACATCCATCCATTGGGGGAAAGGGGGGCAGGGAGAAGTTTTTCTGTCTCTCCCATAATACAAGAACCAGGTGCCATCATCTAATGATGCTGAACGCTCAGGACAGACAAAAGAAATCACTTCTTCACACAGTATATGAAGTTAAACTATGGTGTTCTCTCCCACAAGATGCAGTGAGATGTCTAGGGATTGTCCATGCACTGGTCTGAGTGGTTTTGCCTTTGCCCTGCCACTTTCTCATGGAAAGCCCACTCTTTAGTGCTAAATCAGAACAAACAGCAGTCGACGATTGCTGTTTGTTCCGATTCAGCGCTAAAGAGTGGGTTTTTCTGGGGGGCAGTGGCAGGGCAAATGGAGGTGTGGGTGAGGCCTGAGGGGTAAATTACAGTGCCCAGACTCTTTTGAAAGAGAGAGAAATGCTTTGAATGTGCTTTAGAGGTGTAGTGTGGACACAGCCAATCAGTTAGTTTTTGTGTGTGCTTTGGTTCTCTTTCAGCCCAGACACAGGTGGAGTGATTGCACAAGTTGTGCTGATGTTTCTCTTCTCTTCTACTGATAACACGGCACTACGGATGGCAGTCGACAAGATTTTGCAGGAGAGGTTGAAGATGTATCCTGGGTCTGCTCGCATCAACCTCCCCTCTTCCACCCTCACAGGCAAGTGCCTTGAGTTTTTCTACCATTGATTGGGCTTTCTCTCCCAGGTCTTGTTATATTTATCATGTTGTATTCCTACTCAACCTTGCCAGCTTCGTTTTTGTTTTTAAGAACAAGTTTTGTGAGCTAAATGTACTGGGAACTGTAGGTCTTACTTTCAACCAAGCAACATATTTTCTATTTTAGGCATATCATATTGTGAATCATAGTTCTGATTGATTTTTAAATAAGTTATGCTACAGTGCTGATATATCTGATGGTAGATTGTCACTTAAAATACCTGTTTTCTCTCACTCACTTTCGATATTTTGGTTGGTCCTAATAGATTCTGGAGGGACGTGGGTGGCGCTGGGGGTTAAACCACAGAGCTTAGGGCTTGCTGATCAGAAGGTTGGCGGTTTGAATCCCCGTGACAGGGTGAGCTCCCATTGTCCAGTCCCTGCTCCTGCCAACCTAGCAGTTCGAAAGCATGAAGTGCAAGTAGATAAATAGGTACCGCTCTGGCGGGAAGGTAAACGGTGTTGCCATGCACTGCTCTGGTTCGCCAGAAGCGGCTTAGTCATGCTGGCCACATGACCCAGAAGCTGTACACTGGCTCCCTCGGCCAATAAAGTGAGATGAGCGCCGCAACCCCAGAGTCGGCCTCGACTGGACCTAAAGGTCAGGGGTCCCTTTACCTTTACCTAGTAGATTCTGGATTTTTTTTCAAACTTTGTGAAAGTGATTTTGCATAGTTAAGAACATACCCCTAATATTCTACTCAGGCCTTCCCCAGGATCTGATTCTTCGCCCCTTAAGCTGATGGGTCCCTCTCTGGAATCGGACACCTCTTGTGGTTCTGACTCAATGGTCTGCAACCCACTGAGATCCTCCCCTTGGTCTTCTAGTGCTAACTCTCTGAGCTCCTCTGACTCTCCCCCCAGATCTAACCACCCCCTTCATTACACTTCCATGGGGCTCATGACAGTTCTAGTGCATAGTTCACTGAGGGCACCTGCTGAACCTTGCTATTGCCCCATAAATTTTAAAAATAAATTATATTTCTTATATTTTTCCTCCATCATGGAGCCCAAGGCAGGGTACATACAGTTCCCACCCCTATAGGGATGGAATGAGCAGCTAATTTCAGCCTGCTTCAGTCTCACTGGTGCCCAGTCATAGGTCTGATCTGCCCTATGTTTTTGCATATATATATTTTAAAAAGGATGCATGAAAAATCCATAGTTAAATTGTATGCACTTTTACATAAAATACAGTGGTACCTCAGGTTACATACGCTTCAGGTTACAGACTCCACTAACCCAGGAATAGCTTCAGGTTAAGAACTTTGCTTCAGGATGAGAACAGAAATCATGCTCCAGTGGCGCGGCGGCAGCAGGAGGCCCCATTAGCTAAAGTGGTGCTTCAGGGTAAGAACAGTTTCAGGTTAAGAACGGACCTCCGGAATGAATTAAGTACAGTGGTACCTCGCAAGACGAATGCCTTGCAAGACGAAAAACTCGCTAGACGAAAGGGTTTTCCGTTTTTTGAGTCGTTCCGCAAGACGAATTTCCCTATGGGCTTGCTTCGCAAGATGAAACGTCTTGCGAGTTCTTGCGAGTTTTGTTTCCTTTTTCTTAAAGCCGCTAAGCCGTTAATAGCCGCTAAGCCGTTAATAGCCGCTAAGCCGCTAATAGCCGCTAAGCCGCTAATAGCCGTGCTTCGCAAGACGAAAAAACCGCAAGACGAAGAGACTCGCGGAACGGATTAATTTCGTCTTGCGAGGCACCACTGTACTTAACCTGAGGTACTACTGCACACATTTTTTAAAAAATATAAAATATGCGCTTCTTAGTGTTTTCCATGTGTTCATCTGGGGAATACATGTTTTGTACACATATGCATGTGTGCACGTTTTCTGCATGAAACCTGTACTGCAATATTCAGAGAAGTATCTGATCCCATCCGGAGCACCTTGGGATCCACAGGAGCATCAAATCCAGCTTCCAAGGATTGCATCACCCCCTGCTGCCTCCTTGGCAGCTGCCCCCTTGCTGCCTCTACAGCAGCCTCTTGGCAAATAGGTCTTCTCCCCCCATCCCTAGGGAGGAAGAGGCAGGGGCTGCCCTTTGGGGTCTCATGTAACAGTAAATGCAATATGTGATTTAATGTGGAACTATTAAATGTATAAATAGTTGCTGCAGGCCCTCCTGCACATTTTTTTAAAAAAACCACACCATGGTGGGCTGCAAGGGGGAGACTCACCTCCTCCCCCCCCCCCGTATTTTTTGCAATGGGAGCAAATGGTGCTAATAGTAGTTTTCCTCTCAATGTAAATAGCAGTGACGGGTGATTTTTGTCAGGATTCCAGCAGCAGGGGATGGTTTAAAGCAGGGGTTGGCAACCTAAGGCCTTGGCCCAGTATACCTGAAGGAGCGTCTCCACCCCCATCGTTCTGCCCGGACACTGAGGTCCAGTGCCAAGGGCCTTCTGGCGGTTCCCTCATTGCGAGAAGCAAAGCTACAGGGAACCAGGCCTTCTCGGTAGTGGCGCCCGCCCTGTGAAACGCCCTCCCATCAGATGTCAAAGCGACAAACAACTACCTGACATTCAGAAGACATCTGAAGGCAGCCCTGTTCAGGGAAGTTTTTAATGTGTGACATTTTAGTGTATTTTTGGTCTCTCTCTGTGGAAGCCGCCCAGAGTGGCTGGGGAAACCCAGCCAGATGGACGGGGTACAAATAATAAATTATTATTATTATTATTCCAGGCAAAGCATAAATCAGCAAAACCGAATCAAGAAATAAGTTCCTTCTTTGATGAAAGCTATGTAATAATATTTCGAAAGAATGCACGTGTTCAAAAATGTGGCATACACTCCAAATTAATCAGAATGAGATTGGGCTGCTGTAGCCTTCCTGTCTGACAAGTGTTTCGAAACATCCTGCCTCTTCTCTGCTGCCTTTATCTTCTTCCCAGTAGACTAGCTGTAAATTGGTTTTGGGGTTTAGTGATAGTTTCAGTGCCTTGTAGAGCTCTCTCTTCTCACAATGAAGGAAGAGAAAATAAGACCCCAGTCAACTTCTGAACAGCTCAAAATATTGCTGGCTTTTTTAAAAAAAAGAAGAAAAGAAACAAAAACTCTTAAATAACAAACAAGGGAAAGAGTTTCTTTTCTCCCCCGCCCCCTTTATAAGATCTTCCTTGGGTGCCATGCTGATCGCTATCTGACCTGAATTGCTACCAACTGTGTCATCGCATTTTTCTCTCAAGGCATGTGCTTGTTATCTCACACATCTCTGCTGGCACAGAAGTGGGAGCAACCTGGAGGGGGATAGTGAAATTCGCATTGGAATGCGGACAACCAGTCTCATAACTCTTATGACTACTGCTTTGCCAGGCAAAGTGGAAGCTGTTAATCTGGGATTGCTGGTGTGCACCGATCCCATGGCATTCCACAGCTGATGAAGGTTGGGGAACTCAGGAGACAGGATGGCTAGCAAGGCCCTTAGACTGCTGTTGTGCAAACATGGCACCACTGTGAAGGTGGAGCCTGAGCGATATTAATCCATAGCTCTGAATGATACCAACTTCCTCTGTTAGGGCTTATCCTCACTTACCCTTTATTTTATTTTTTATAAAAATTTTATTAGGGTTTTTACATTACAAAATAGAAAAAGGAAAAAGGAAAAATACAAAATAAAAATAGTTAAAAACAATCAATCTTTTCATCACATTATTTTTCATTTACTTGTTTCCTGGACCTCCTCTACCTCCCTTTTTTGTATTCCAGTTCAATTTATTAGCTCAGCAGTTTCTTTCCCTCTTTATTCTACCCAGATCTTTAATCTTAAGTTATTATAACATTAAATTTTTACTTATAAAAACAAACAAACCATTTTTTCATATTCTTTTATACCATTAGCTAGAAACCACTTAGTTTTAATCCAACATCATTCTAACATTCATTCATTTTACAGTATCTCTGTAAATAGTCTTTAAATTTCTTCCAGTCTTCTTCCACCGACTCTTCTCCCTGGTCTCGGATTCTGCCAGTCATTTCCGCCAATTCCATGTAGTCCATCACCTTCATCTGCCATTCTTCCAGAGTGGGTAAATCTTGTGTCTTCCAATACTTTGCAATAAGTATTCTTGCTGCTGTTGTAGCGTACTATCCTCACTTACCTTTAGACCTGCTCTTTCCAGGCACAGGTCTATGCTTCAAAGCTGCATGTCCGAACGCCCTTTCCTTAGCTCTGGAGCCTTCACCACGAAAACCTGCTCTTTTAGCTGAATCATAAAGGTAAAGGGTAAAGGGACCCCTGACCCATTAGGTCCAGTCGCGAACGACTCTGGGGTTGCGGTGTCATCTTGCTTATTGGCCAAGGGAGCTGGTGTACAGCTTCTGGGTCATGTGGCCAGCATGACTAAGCTGCTTCTGGCGAACCAGAGCAGCACGGAACAGATCCTGTTCGTAACTAGGTGTACCACTGTATAGTGCTCAGAATTCTGTGGCGAGAAAAATGTGTCTTGAATGAACTTTAAAGGTATAGTGTGTATGGAGCCTTTCCCATCCCCAGTTACTGAGAAATGTGCCTGTTTGTAGCAGCACAATATAAGGTGTGATTCAGCCCAGCCAAAAGTTAAGCTCTTTTTAAGCCTGAAATATCCCAGGCAGAGATAAACACATGCCTTTATCTCCTATTGGAATCAATAACACTTTAAAGTGCAGGGTTATAGCCAACTAAGGGCTTATCCACACTTAGCTCTTGGCCTGCCCTTTCCAGGCACAGGTGCTTTAAAGTTTATAGTGTCTGAGCAATCTTTCTTTTGCCCTGCAGCTCTCCTCACGAAAACCTGCTCTTTAAAGCTGTCGTGCAACAAATAGCAGTTCAGGTTTTCCACTGATGGTCGCTTGCCCCAATTCAGTGGTGAAGGGAGCGTTTTCGCAGGGAAAGCTCTGGCTCACAAACAGGTGCTTGGGCACGGAGCTTTAAAGTGCAGACCATCCCTGG